TCCTGAAAATGACCACACCCAGTAACAGCATAGTCGACATAGCTCTAAATCCTGAATTATCAAAGCTACAGTCTTTCTGGATTGCTTATGGTTCAGAATAGTTGCTTTTAGGGGTGGTCACTAAAGAGTGAACTTAGCCTAAGTTTCATATATTTTAACAAGAAAATGAATGTTTACTATACCAGGTCAACTGCTAATTATGCATAAAATTACAGATTCACCTGGCAACGCCTAATTTTTCCCATTTTCTAAACATTTTGCCATATGATGAAAAAGCATGCTTATTTTAGTATATTTATTCTAAATTTCCTAGGAAATAACAATGTTTTGTTGCGATACGACATATTTCATTTTACTTCACCCCCGCCAGAACACGATTTCAGCCATATTTTGCAAATTTGATCGCCGTTTTTCGCCGTCCGTTGCAAGCAATATCCAAATACTGAACTTTAGCACGATTCTAGTGGACTAAAGAATTATTGAACCAATTTTCGATGGGTTTTGAAGTAGTGCCATGTAATATTTTTTCATTTTTGTGTCCCTTGACATTTCATCAATTATGTCGCCATTGCAATGTTTCACCGCCTTTCTGCACGATATATGCCACTTCTTGATCCCCAGCTGAATTTTTTTCACAGCATCGATAATTAATTGATAGTACAATAGCAGCTATCCAAAATTTAAAAGAATTTGTCCAACTTGGAAGTAAAAAACCTCCCTTCGTTTATCGGGAATGAAATTCAAGTGCGAAAGTTTCGAAATAATTTGAAAGTCTCGCGCAAACTCCGCGACGAGTCCTCGTGGACAGCATTACGGGTGGACGAAAATTCAAGCATACATTTGTTCACAACCACAATCAGTCAACAACCAGAGTAAAATTTGTCCGTTTTACTGTTAATATTTCTCATAACAAAATAACAAGTCTCCGGCCGCGTTTAAATTGCATGTTCTTGCTTTCACAAAGCTAAAAAAATAAACCAGAAACATAATTGTGGAAATTTATTACCCCCCTGCAATGTTGCCCACGAGCACTTGTCGTGGAGTGTGCGCTAGACTTTTAAATTATTTTGAATATTTCGCACTTAAATTTCCCTCCCGATAAACGAGGGGTGGTTTTTTACTACCAAGTGGGACAAATGCTTTTAAATTTTGGATAGCTGCTATTGTACTATAAATTATTTATCGATGCTCTGAAAAAAATACAGCTGGGAATCAAGAAGTGGCGTTTATCGTGCAGAATGGCGGCGAAACATTGCAATAGCGACATGATTGATGAAATGTTAAGGGACAAAAAAATGAAAAAATATTACATGGCACTACTTCAAAACCCATCGAAAATTGGTTGAATAACTCTTTAGTCAACTACAGGGTGTATCAAAAAAATTCGAATCGAAATTTTGCGTGTAATAATGCAAAATATATTTGACAAATTTGGTTGATTTTTACACTATTGTTAAGTTCATTTATTTCTCTTTCAAATGACACGTTGTACGTGTAATTTAGTTGAAAAATGAAGAAGTACTGGTTCGACAAAAAAAGTTCATAAAAATCACCATTTTCAGCCGATGGGAACTGGACGTTTGTTTTATTGAAAATTAGTCCCAAAGGGCTTTAAAATCTAATCATTACTGAAAACTAAAACGCAAATTTATCGCAAAAATTCTGCTTATTCAATGTTCAACGATAGAAGTTTGAAGAACACAATGCCTCCATTGATTAAATTTGCATTTTCTTTTGTCTGGAGGTCTCATTTCGAATTCCCATCGGCGGAAAAATTTGATTTCGAGCAATGATTTTTAAAAGACGATAACTCAGCCAGTTTTGGTCGTGTCGATATAGGAACGGTATAATCGTAAACTAAATAAGCTAATCTTTGTTGCCATATAAAAAATTTATCGTTTACTTTAGTATTTTATACACAGCAGCTTGTCAAAGTTGGATTCGAATTTTTTTTATACATCCTGTAGAATCGTGCTAAAGTACAACATTTTTATACCGAAAAACGGCGATTAAATTTGCAAAATATGGCTCAGATCGTGTTCTGGCGGGGGATAAGTGATTTGAAATATGTTGTATCGCAAGAAAACATTGTTATTTCCTAGGAAATTTAGAATGATTGTATTGAAATAAGCATGTTTTTTCATCATAGAGCAAAATTTTTAGAAAATAGGAAAAATTAGACTTTGCTAGGTGAATCTGTAATTTTATGCATAATTAGCAGTTGACCTGGAATGGTAAACATTCATTTTCTTGTAAAATATGAAACTTATGCTAATTTCACTCTGTAGTGACCACCCCTAAAAGCAACCATTCTGAACTATATAAACAATTCAGAAAGACTGTAGCTTTGATAATTCAGGATTTAGAGTTATGTCGTTTATGCAGTTTTTGGGTGTGGTCATTTTCAGGACTTTCGTCCCGGATTCAGCTTTTGGCACTTATACAATGTTGACCGTCATCGCCAAATTTACCCTAAAACAGTTGAGATAATCTGTCCTAAATGAAATTCATGCAAACTCCTTTACAGGTCCTAGAGTAAAAAGAGCAGCTTGTTTAAAATGATGCTGATTGCGCAGTGTTATGATAAGGCTGGTCAGATAAGGGGCGTAAATATCTGGGCGTGCCTCCAATAATGCACCTTTGTTAAATGCAGGCCACTACTTGCAGAATAAGTTTTGGAGTGTGTAGGTTAGAAATCGCCTGCATCCAGTTGCCCCTTTGGAGGATTGGAACCAAAAATTTCTCCAAATTCGTATCCGCGAATCCGACGAGATGCCGTTCATATCGATGTCCTTCAACGATTCTCAGTTTGTTCTTCATTCACAAATCGAATCCGAACGTAGAGAGGAGCTGGACACAAATCCTAATAACCGTTAACATTCATTTGGAAATCAAGATCAGCAGCTCGGTCAACCTTGGAAAGGGGAGAGGAAACGTCTTGGCCTTCCTTTGAATAAGGCTGAGGATACTGAAAACTTCCCTGATATCGATAAACTTTAAAACGTGACATTTTCATATTTGCATGTTAGAAAGCACAGTACCCGTCCATTGATTGAACGACTATAGCGAATACTGACAATTCATTGCTAACCGTGTTAGCAAAATTAAAAGCCATGCGAATGTATTACAAAGCCATCAGTGCATGTTCATACATCTGACAACCCTGCAGACTTGGGTAGTCGTGGCGTCAGTGTCATGTCAGCAGCGTTGTGGTGGAAATGTCTAGTTTAGTTGGCTGATCCAGATGAATGGCCACCTCAGATCGTGAAAAGTGCAGAGCAACAATTTATGCAGAGAAGAAGGGAAATAATGGCCTCGATGAATCCTCGAAGAGTTCGGCTTGAGTAAAGCCAGGAAGATTGGTGATTGGGCCTCGAGATTCAAGCACAATCCTTTCGATAAGATCCAGAGACCCTTAACAATGCAAGAGATTCTAGATCAAGAGTTATTTTGGGTCCGCAGAGCCCAAGAGCGGAAAGTTTGTGAAGGCGAAAGTTCGTGAGGAATTTTGGATTCCTCGGCCATATTTGCCTTCGTAAGCTGGCAAAGCGACTCCTAAAGAAACGTTATACATGTAAGAGATTTCCTGCTTTACCTATATTCCAAGCCCGCCTGCTGAATTTGTGCCCACGAATAGACCGAAGATGATAATTATACATTTCAGAGTAATCGGCGTAGATTTTCCTGGATCTATCAAATATCTTAAAGTCCGAAGAAGAGCGTATGTTGTATTATACTTCTGCAGTTGACAAGTGCGGCACATAATTACTATTGTTGATTGCATGTCAATCCCGTTTAGTAAACACATTTTCATTTTCTAATAGCTGATGTAGCAGTTTTAAGGCCGGTGCCTTGCTTTTCTTTTCAAATAAACGTGCAGATAGCAATCGTTCGGCTGAACTAATTGTAAACGCACTAGCAAGCAACAATTGCTATTTAGGAATTGCTTATCTTATAGATTAGGAGATTGCACGAAAACCATTCGCTATTGCACAAAAGGCTTAGAAATAAATGGCTGTGGATTCTTTTAAATGATAATATAAATTACTGCATTAGTATACATTCATTTCTAACCGAGAGCCACTTTATACATTGTTAATTTGACCTCGATTTCCAAACTGCGCTTGTGGACTGGTATTGAGGGAGTTAAGTCCTATTTTGGGACGTAAACAAAGGCTCTCTCTTAGAAATGAATGTATACTATTGCAGTAACTTATATTATTATTTATTTAATTAAAAGAGTGAACAAAGGTTTGTCCCAAAAACAGCCCAATGGTGCATTTTCAATATCACTATTACCAGTCCGATTATCACTGTTACAAATGTCGATCACAATAACACCTCAAAATTCGATTGTTTCAACAAAGGAAATACTCTTCCATGCGCGGTATATACATTAATTAACCTCTTCTAATTAGTTTTTACATAATTTTGTTTAAGGTCTGAAGTAAAGTTACAGACACTTGAAAAGGTAAGAAAATGGATTCGAAATCTTCAAAATCTGTCACGGCAAACAATGATCCGTTAGAAAGAGCAAACATCAATCTCAACTTAGGTGATACCCATTTTAGATTAGCAGAGTATAAAAAGGCTATTACCTATTACATTGAATATAGAGAAATTTGCACTGAAATTGGCAATTTTCAAGGGTTAGCAACTGCCTGTGAGAAACAGGGTTCTGCCTGTTTACATCTAGGACTGCATGAGGAGGCTATCGAGTATTTTGCAACAAGTTTAGAAATTTTTATTCAATTTGACAATCACTCAGGAGTGGCAAATAACAATGGCAATTTAGGCACTGCCTATCATAGTTTAGGAGAGCATGAAAAAGCTATTGACTATTTCAAAAAAGGTTTGGAAATCAGTGCTGCTATTAGCGATAAGTCAGGAATGGCAAATATTAATGGCAAATTGGGCAGTGTTTACCTTAGTTTAGGAGAATATAAAAAAGCTATTGACTATTTCAAAAATGGTTTACAAATGAATATTGCCATTGGCGATAAGTCAGGAATGGCCGATAACAATGGGAATTTGGGCAATGTTTATCTTAGATTAGGAGAATACGTAAAATCCGTTGGCTATTTAAAAGAAGGTTTAGAATTGAGTACTGCTATTGGTGATAAGCCAGGTATAGCAAGTAAAAATTGCAATTTGGGTAATGCCTACCTTTGTTTGGGAGAATATGAGAAGGCAACAGCCTATTTTAACAAAGGTTTAGAAATTAGAACGGCTATTGGCGATAAATCAGGTATAGCAACTATAAATGGCAATGTGGGCAATGTTTACCTTATGTTAGGAGAATATGAGAAAGCCATTGAATATTTTAAAAAGAGTTTAGAAATGCGAACTGCTATCGGCCATAAATCGGGAATAGAAACTAACTATGGCAATTTAGGCAATGCTTACCTTAGATTAGGAGAATATGAGAAAGCCATTAGCTATTTTAGAAGAGGTTTAGAAATTAGTACTGCTAATGGCAATAAGTCAGGAATGGCAGCTAACATTGGCAATTTGGGTAATGCCTACTTCTATTTAGGAAAATATGAGGAATCCATTGAATGTTATATAAAAGGTTTAGAAATGAGTACTGCTATAGGCGACAAGTCAGGAATAGCGACTAAAAATGGGAATTTGGGCAATGCCTACCTTACTTTAGGCGAATATGAGAAGTCCATTGACTATTTCGAAATAGGTTTGGAGATGAGTACAGCTATTGGTTATAAGTCAGGAATGGCCAATAACAATAGCAATTTGGGCCTGACCTACCATAGTTTAGGACAATATGAAAAAGCCATTGAGTATTTCAAAAAAGGATTAGAGATAAGTTCTGTTATTGGCGATAAATCAGGAATCGCAAGCAACAATAGCAACTTTGGTAATGCTTACCATAGTTTAGGAGAATATGAAAAAGCCATTGAGTATTTCAAAAAAGGTTTAGAAATAAGTATCGCTATTGGCGATAAGTCAGGAATGGCAAGTAACAATGCCAATTTAGGCATGACGTACGTTAGTTTGGGACAATATACCACGGCCATCGAATGTTGCAAAAAAGGTTTAGAAACGAGTACTGCTATTGGTGATAAGTTACAAATAGCAAGAAACAGTGAAAGGTTAGGTTTAGCCTACCTCAATTCAGGAGAGTTTGAGAAATCTATTGACTATTTCAAAAAGGGTTTAGCAATGAGTACTGCTATTAGCAATAAGTCAGGAATAGCGAGCAACAATTGCAATTTAGGAATTGCTTATCTTGAATTAGGAGAATGCGCGAAAGCCATTCGCTATTGCACAAAAGGTTTAGAAATAAGTGCAGCTATTGGCGATAAGTCAGGATTAGCAAATAACAATGCCAATTTGGGTAATGTCTACCTTAAATTAGGAGAATATGAGAAAGCTATTGGCTATTTTAAAAAAAGTTTAGAGATGAGTACTGATATTGGCCAGACGCGTGCAGTTGCCTCTAACAATGGCAATTTAGGCAATGCCTACCTTAGCCTTGGAGATTATGAAAAAGCCATTGACTCTTTCAAAACTAGTTTAGAAATGAGTACTGTCATTGGTGACAAGTTAGGAATAGAAAATAATTATTGCAGCTTAGGTCTTGCTTATCTTGAATTAGGAGATTATGAGAAATCCATTCAATATGGCAGAAAAGGTTTAGAAATTAGTACTTCTATTGGTGACAAGGCAGGAATAGCAAAAAACACTGGTAATTTGGCAAATGCCTACCTTAGTTTAGGAGACTATGTGAAAGCCATTGATTATTGCGAAAAAGGCTTGGATTTGAGTCGTGCTATAGGCGATAAGACAGGAATAGCATCTTGGAATGGCAATTTTGGCAATACTTACCTTAGCATCGGAGAGTATGAGAAAGCTATTGACTATTACAAAAAAGGTTTAGAAATGAGTACGGCTATAGGGTATAGGTCAGGCATAGGAACAAACAATTTCAATTTGGGCATTGCCTGCCTTAGTTTAAGAGAATACGTGAGAGCTATTGATTACTTCGAAAAAGGTTTGGAAATCAGTACTGATATTGGCGATAAATCAGGAATAGCAAGTGCGAATAACGGTTTGGGCAGTGCTTATAGATTCTTGGGAGAATATGAAAAAGCTATTGATTATCAAAAAAAGTGTTTAGAAATTAATGCCGCTATTGGCAAACAGTTAAGTATAGCAATGGTCAATTGCAATTTGAGCAATACTTATACATGTTTAGGACAATATGAAAAATCCATTGAGCATTCGAAAAAAAGTTTAGAAATCAGTACTGCCATCGGAAATAAGTCAGGAATAGCACATAGCAATTGCGATTTAGGCAATGTTTACTTTAGCATTGAAGAATACAACAAAGCTATTGACTACTACAGAAAGGCATTAGAAATTAGTACTGTTATTAGTGATAAATCTGAAATAGCTATTGAGAATGGCAATTTGGGCAGTGCCTACCTTCGATTAGGAGAATACGAGAAAGCCATTGACTATTACAAGAAAGCTTTAGAAGTAAGCATTACCATTAATGATCCGTCACTCTTAGCAAGTATTAAGAGCAATTTAGGAGCTGTACATCGATGTTTAGGACAGCATGAAAGTGCAATATCATGTTTAGTGGAATCTATCAGCATCTTTGACAAAATATTTTTAAACTCAGTACCAGACCAAAATAAGTTGTCATTCACTAAACAATACTTTACCAACCATGTAATGATGATGAGTTGGTTTATTTCTCTTGGGCGCATTGAATCTGCATTATTAGTCATTGATCTTGGAAGGGCTAAAGAACTTCATTGCTCCATTGAAAGAAAAAAGAAATCTTTGAATACAAAAATGTTCGATTATGCAAATGCGCGTTGGAAGAGAATCAAGAATTGTGAAGAACAGGTAGAAATAGAAGAATTACAGAGCATCCTCCAGGTAAGCAGTAACGATACTTCCATTATAGTATTTGCTTTCGATTTTCAAGGTTTTCTCAATGTTTGGGTGTTGAATGAAGAAGTAATCTTTAGTGTATCAAAATCAGAAGCACGATTGGAAACATTTGTGCAACTGATAAGTGAATTGTTCAGAATGGTGAATGTGAATGTTAATCGGGATTCTTCGTTTTTCGAACTCGATTCAGTGGCCAGTATTGATGAAAAATCGATTCTTCCTTTGGACGTTTTTAAAGAAAAATCTCCGTCTAAAAATCATTTTGAGAAACCTTCTGTTGGTGATGATGATTTAAACCAAGACGGTATTTTGAAAACATTGTTTAAACTGCTGATTGACCATGTTAGCGATGTGATTAAAGGCAATAAGCTTATAGTTGTTCCGGACAAGCAATTGTTTTTTGCCCCATTTTCGTCATTGATTGATGAAAATGGTTGTCATTTATCCCACAGTTACAGCATTCAAGTTACGCCATCATTACACACTCTAAGGTTTAGCATTGAACGCTCTCAAGATCTGGGCCTTGGTTTTGCGTTGTTTGTTGGTAATCCAACCGTTGGAACGGTTTCCTTAAATGGAAAAGAATTTTCACCCCCTGCCTTACCAAATGCTGCTAGAGAAGTTGAATGTCTTTCAAAGCTCTTCAATGCTAGACCCTTAGTGGGGCGTGAAGCTAGAAAACAGATTGTACTGGATCTTTTATCTGGGGCTAGCATAATCCATATCGCTGCTCACGGTGAACAACTTCGAGGTGAAATAATGCTTTCCCCTAACGTTTCTTCGACTCGGCCATTTTCGACTCTTCCTTATCCAGACGACTACCTTCTCTCACAGAAGGATATTGTAAATACTTCTTTGCTAGCTAGCTTGGTAGTTTTATGCTGTTGCCATACCGGGCAAGGTGAGATTTCTTCCGAAGGTGTCATAGGTATTGCTCGGGCATTTATTGCAGCCGGGGCTCGCACTGTTCTCGCCACTCTATGGCCCATTAGTGATGATGCAACGAAAGAGTTTATGGAAGTATTTTATGGTGAGTTGTGCCAGGGAACAACGGTTTGTGAAGCCCTAAGAAAGACAAAGAATCTCTTCCAAAAACACCAAATCCAGGCATACCGGTCTTACAAAATCTGGGCCCCATTTACCATCTACGGGGAGGACGTGGTTTTTCAGAAACGTGACATCGAAAATATCAGAGATAAATCACGTGACATGTTCTCTGGTTTTGTTGTATTGCCCTAAGGTTTGTAAGTATAATAATTATATAGCTTTGTTTAGCCAGAATCGGATTTGAAATATTCTGTTTTTTAAATCAATATAAGTAGACATTTCCTCTCTTCAAAGTGTGATAGTGCATTGGACGAAGTATTGGTATGCAGTGTTGCAGTTATCGCCAAGCCGTAAGTATATATCAATTTCAATTCAAAATGTGATTTAAGAATTACCTATCCCCATTATTTGTATACTTATTCGCCGGTCCCAAGAAGGGAAATAGAATTTTCTTGCAAGTTGTATGAACCATGCTTTCATCTCTTTGTTATTGAGGTATCGGGCCAGTCAGGATTAGAACATTAACCAGTTTACTTCTCTTTAATTCCCAATATGCAAGTAAAATTATATGTTGGATATCATTTCAGTGTTAAAACAATACACTATAGCAAGCAGATATATTCTATTATTTTTCTCCACTCATCATCGGTTTACATCCAATAGTTATATTCTTGAAAAAAAGGGGGGTAGCTGCCTGTATGAAATTTTCACTGATGGAAGCAGCACTTTATTTGACTTTGCAGATTAAACTTTTTGTGCAAGCATTTGAACTTGCTCCCAGAAATAAATGTACACTTGTTTCAGGCATGTGCGACATTGCAAAAAAACTTACTTGGAAAAACAAGTGCAAGCTAACAGCGTCCTGTTCAACGTTTCCGAGATATATTTTGGTACATGTATGTGCATCTAGAAAATAAAGTGCATGTAGCAAATTATATCTGGAAAAGTTGACCTTCAATATTATAAGTTGAGAAATTCCAGATTTTTTCTTAAGATAACACAAATATTTAATTTATATGCGGCAGCTTCTAATGTTAAGAAATTTGAAGCAAACTTAATTTAGTAAAAAAGTCAAAATTATTTATTAATTGATTTTTGTTGTGTAATTTTCTGTTATTCCAATCAGAGTTATATTTATACCAAATGTACCTACCTACCATTAATAAATGAGGTTCTCAAAGTATGCTTAAACTTTCATCAAGAAAGAGGAGAGTTTTAATTTTTTTACAACGTTGTAAACATCAAACTCTTTCAGATATAACTTGATACTTATTTATAGATAAGAAATAACATACACTTTAGCCAACATTCTAAAACCTAGTGGACCGACATCACGCGTACTGTATTGATGTGTGTCCGCAATGAAGAAGGAAGTAAAATATGTGAAGATCATCGAAGCGTTGTTCAGTGATAAGGACTTGAACTTGCAACGCCGAAAATATCGTTAAAAACTTGAAATAGTTCAATAATTTGCCTTTTGTTTGAAAAAAAGATAATTATAACATCAATCAAACCGATCTACCTTCTACGACCCAGTAGAACACTAATGCCATTTGTTTTAACAATTGTTGACAAACGTCTTCACAGTTATTTCATCGACGTAACAAAAATCGGGCAAATTGAAACAATAATTGCTTCACATACGAAAGTTAGAATTCGGCAAGACTGCAAGAACAATTATTTTACATTGAGAAAATGAATACACCTTCCACTCACCATATGGTATACCGTGATCATGCTACTCACTGAACTAGAAAAGGAAAAGCAATGAAATCAAAATATGTTACCAGTGTTAAAGTATTGGACAGGTGAAGGGTTGGTATTGTAACAGTGCTTCATTCGACTAAACGATATATACCCATGCGTGTATTTGTTGGCTTCATTTGTTGCTTTCTTATTTATAATCACACCAAGCAAGTGGTTCAATATCTTGTTCTTTAAATAAATCATCTTTACTGGTGCCTCGAAATTTAATACAAATCGTGATCATAACTGGCAAAGTGTATTTAAGGAATGGAAGCGGATATGGATTTGAAAGGCTTTTGTTTCATCTATATACCGCTTGGATCATGTTCAAACATTTTCATTAAAGGACCGTTATAGCGACCATGTGCGTTCGGATATGCCGTTCAGTAGCGTTGTACGAGGAGAGACATCACATAAGCAAGGAAGTGCGAAAAGAACTGTGCCAGTCCACAAAGTGGTTGAAGAATGTTGGTCGTAATGTTTACAGAAAATCAGTTGAACTTAAATTTTCATTTTTCAAAGTATTAATCGAAGATGAAGGGTTTTAGAATTGAAAAGATGTAGTCATGCACATATGTTTTCAATGATAAAGTGTTTTATTTTCTTTCATTTCATAAATTACATTCAACCGATGAAAAATAATGATCATTCTGCTTGTGCCTGTATTAAAGTTTTTGAAAGTAAGGAATTTTTTTTTCAGCCTCTTAATTCGTCTCGATTTCTAACACCTCTTTATCTTCTAATATTGTCATATTCTGCAAGATGTTGCGAGGAAGATGATTACAGCAAATAATAAAATAGTATAATTGGAAACAATAGTTATAACCTGCAAGCTTCCAATTGCAAAAGTCAAGACAATTTTGAAGCTTAAAAAGTTAAGGCCTTCAATTAGTAACGACATAGAATTACCGTAAATTATAAATATTGTACCCTAAATTACTAAGTTAGCAAATATAATTACTATACTCTATGTAGTACGTATCAACGCATGCTTTGAAGTTCGTTTTTCATGGATATTTTATTACATTATTTTCTTAATTATTACAATAATTAAATACAACAATAAAAAAGCCGACGGGGACCGAACACGGGCTAGTCTTTGTGTTATGTATGACATGCAATTTTATAACCTTCCTAATGGGCTCATGTACGTTTAAAAAGTTCACTTTAACATCTCTAAACCCCCCATGGGGACCTCTGCTTTCTAGTCTTGTAAGCCACGCCCTCACGAGTCAACCCGAATAGTTTTTTTTGCTGGCAGAGCGAGGTTCAAAGATTAAGCAGTCAAGTTTAACGTAACAAAAGTGAAGTTTCGATGGAGTGGATTTGATCTTGCATATACAAAGTGTCAGCGTCGTCCTTGATGTGCAAATTATCATTATTCATTTCTGCAGAAATTATTTGTTTTCATAATGAAGATGCAATAAAATATTAGTATAGCTGGACTAAAGTGTCAGGCAGCATTGCTACATCACTGCAATCTGTACTTATCAGTGTTTGTAGATATTTCATGGTATACAAGCGCGAAAATGAACGAAGTCAATGGGTCAAAATTAAGAAATCCATCGGGCAGAAGAGTGTATATAAATAATCCCCCGAAATCCGTATAGTTCACCCCCCATGATATAAATTTATTTAAACCAGTACAGATCAATCTCACTTTCATTGGGCAAGTATTTCTAGGTTTGCAAATCTTATTCTTAGAAAACAATATTGTATTTGTAAGTTTCTTGCTGGTTTTGGAATGATAACTGCGCAGTCGTTGAATTCCGAATACGGAATAAAAAATTATATATCTTAAAGGGTATCTTGGTGACGATGACAACTGGAAAAATTGAAGGATTTCTGTATGTCAGATTTAAGACGTTCACAGATTAACTAAATAGAAATCAGCTCTACTATCAAAAGTTTTGTATTCTTTGTTTGAAACTAAATAAAAAACCACCTACAATGTGATAACGCAATCAACAATTTATCTGCCAAATTGTTACCTTCGACGACTTCACAATTACATGATCGTACTTCGTAGCTACAACCTTACAAAACGTACGCAGAATCATATTATTTGTTGCAGGAAAAAAAACTATAATATAATTTAAATTAGGACACTAGAACTTTAAATGTTGAACATTGGTGTTACTGTCAGACACCTAGCTGGTAGGGAGGCCTGGTGGAACAATCTTGCATGAAAAATGTGACTTATCAGTGATTGTATAAATCTTACGGGGTACAGAAAGTGAGAAGGAAATCGATTTTTGAAAGACTAGCTAGACGAGTTTATTTAAATGTACATGATCGTACACCTTTTCGTGCAGGCTCAAGCAATGCACTTGTTGAAGTCAAAGTGGTTTTCTAAATTGACTCGGTGTTAATAACATTTCCACCTGCAAACAGATTGCTTTAAATGCCACTGTAAAATTAATGGTGTCGACTTAAACTAAAACTGTCCGACGATATTATGGTGTACTTTGTCAAATTAGTAAACAAGATATTTGGCGAGATTTATCATCGCGTGATATGTGTTGATGCGTGATTTTCTAATTTTAAAACCAGTAAATTTAAGCCAAATTATGTCCACGTCTATAAGTATAACAGGTGCATGCATGATTGCATGCCGATACTGTACTTGTTTTCTTTAAACTCCTGATAATAAACTAATATTCATATTTTAATGCACATATTAATATCATTTTAATATTTCTCGCCATACAAATTATATAAAAAGCCACGGTCTGATGTTTCACAGTAAAGATCTCACGCTCGGTCAATAATCGGTTATTATTAAACTCCACTTCTTGGGAACTTTGAAGTTTATAATTATGGGAAAAAAGACTGTAGAGGATCTAGATAGCATTTGAGGGCCTTGGATAACTTGGAAAACAAATTAATGGCAATTTTTTATTGACTTAAATGCCGGTATTTTATAGGCATTTTGTTGACGGTAAAATTGGATTTGAAATAACATAATATTTGCATAAAAATAGCAATCTAAGTAACACAAAATAGCAGAATGCAGTTTACAGTTGTATGGAGTTCCATGCTAGCTTTGGAATGGCAACCAGGTATAGTAATTATCATTGCTTTTCAAATAATTACCAAGTGTTTATTTTGTCACGAAAACTATTTTGATGAACGTGGATACTTTAGCTTTCCTCACATCCGCTTTAACGGCTTCAAATGTTGTTGGCAATAGCTTTCACTAGAATTGTTCGTCCAAACAGAAAACAAAGAATTCCAGTAAGCTAGATTTTGCTCATGCATAATAATAACCATGTCGGTCACGTCAGTTGTTATGACATATTGATTTCCCCAGGGCTTTCGACACACGCAGTACGCGAAAATTGATAATTATATGGCAGTATTCCTTTCTTCAGAAATTAGTTATGTAAACTGCTTCAAAGGTAATTTTTTACACTCTTGGCAAGTGACAAGTACCATTTCCGGCTCTATCGATTACATGAAGGCACGATTTGAATAAATAATAGACATGCAGATCTGCGAAACACGAAAATATCTTAATATTGAAAATGCATGAGTTTGCACTTATCGAAACTCTTATGTACTTCCGAAGACGATATAATTATGTTTCCGGTGAAACAATTTCACTTTCTTTACGACATAACTTGTACTCAAAATTCTCCGAGAATCAAAGCTCAGAAGGAAGCAACTCGTGCGCAGTAGCTCTATCAAGGGAGTTCAGTTGTTATGATTCAATTTGTTTACATTGCTTGAAATGAAATCACATAACGATCGCCTACTACAATTTTTAAATATTATTTACATTTAAGAAATAGAAAACATTTACCGTGTTTCTATACAGTTATAGAATCGCTAAAACTAGACACGTAACGGCAACCGTAATTGTTTACCTCACACGACGAGTCAGATCGCAGTTGACATATTGATTTTCCCAGGGCTTTCAGCCACGCAGTACGCGAAAATTGAAAATTATCTGGCAGTATTCCTTTCTTCAGAAATTAGTTATTTTTAGAGTCAATAAACAATAAAATATTGGCAAAATCTTTTAAGGGTAACCAAACGTCGAAATGTGGAGAGAGGAC